TCGGCCGAAAAATAATATGGTTCAAGTTGCAATTAGAAAGCATGCTCAAACAGGAAAGTAAACCAAGATTACAGTTGAAGCAATAAAAGTCATTAAAAAGTCATTACAGGTACAAGCATACAGATCAAACCGGAATAACAGTTAGCACAAAAGAAGATGATTCTCATTAATTAAATTCAAAGCGATTACAAAGGAGGGGCTCCCAGCCCGGTTACAAGTCGAAGCAAAAAGAAGAAAAAGAAAAAATACAGAATCAATTAAAAAGGTCTTTAAGATCGGCTTCAATATCAACTTGAACATCGGTTGTAGATGGAAGATCAGTCTCAGTAGCAACTGGCAGCATGGTGTCAGTTGGCGGCTCAACAGTTAGGTCTTCAACCGTTGACTCCAACCGAGCTGATTGATCGTTGCCTTGCTCGTTGACTACCGGAGTAACAGTTGGCTCATTTTCTTCATCTTCATCATCTGAACCCTGCAAAAATTGTTATTGGATAGAAGCAGCATACTCCGCTAGTGAGGCCAGAATGAAATACTGAGGAGCATTGTAGTCCTCGGTTTCGGGCCCACAGCCGAGCTGTTCCACAGCACTTCTCCAGCCACACTTGAAAAATAAGTCTTTCTCTCCCTCACATTGTGGAATATTGGACAGAAGCAGCATACTCCGCTAGTGAGGCCAGAATGAAATACTGAGGAGCATTGTAGTCCTCGGTTTCGAGCCCACAGCCGAGCTATTCCACAGCACTTCTCCAGCCGCACTTGAAAAATAAGTCTTTCTCTCCCTCACATTGTGGAATGTAGAGGCCCTCTGCCTCCTTGAAACCTTCGACGTTGGCACCACCCACTTTCTTCTTAAGTTCAGCGATTTCGGCGTCCTTTTTCCCTTCGAGCTTGACTAGCTCACGAAGGTATTTATCTTTCATCATGATCAACGCCTTCTGTTTGTCAGCTTCAGCTGAGGTAACTAGTCCAGTTAGACGAGCTACCTCTGCCGCTAGCTCGGTCGTTTTTTGTTGTGATTCCTTCAGTTCGGTTGTTCTTTCTTCCACTCTGCCATGGCCTGCCTAGCCGTTTTCTTGAGCTCCAATACCTTTTGATGGGCAATTTGGCTCTTCTGAAGAGACTGAAATGAATGGAAAGAAATCAATGACAAAACCGAACTAAAAGTTTGAAAAATTTGAGAGACGAAGGGCATCTTACCAGGATCATGGATTTGGTGGCCGATCGGATGGCCTTTAGCTCGGTCAGGTTCTGGTGGTGTTCCATGTCTGCTGGAAGGCAAACACTCTTGGTAAGGTTGAATGCCATCAAGTGATCCTTCTCAGCAACCACCGAATCGGTATCTTGGATATGTCGGTTTTGAAATTTTAGCTTCGGTGCCCACTTGGAAGAGCCAGCCCGGTCAGAAGGCTCCGGTTGTGGAATCAGTGGGTGGCTCGGTGAAGGGGTGGTTTCGTCCTCATCCGCTAGACGCTGCTCGGCTGGGGTAGACCGGGCGCGCTTGGATGGGCGTGATGAAGACGGCTGTTGAGAAGGAAGGGCCACAACGGCCTGTTGCGTTTGGCTTGGTGGCGGTACTTCGGGTTTGTTGGTTTTCGTCAAGAGGGCCCTGACTCTATTTCTCTTGGCCATCTCTTCTTCAGCGGTCAGAGGGATTAGTCTAATTTGTGGCAAGGTTGGGTCTGGTTCGGGGGTGTCCTCAAGCAGAAAGTCTGTTACTCTGGCTTTTCGGCGACCGCTGTAACGGTATGTCGGCTCAAAATTAAGAAGTTTGGCCCAACTTCTTTCTGGAAAACGTAGTGCGACGCGAAGTATGTTCAGGTTGGGGTAACTATACAAAGATTAAAGATGGGCTGAATCTGCATTAAAAAGACGAACTGTTACTTCGGTTCAGGAGCAGGTAACCGAAATAAAAACAAAGCATGTGAACAAACCGAAGTAATTATACCAGGTGTTCCTTTTTTTCAGTTTATACTTCGGCCTGAGATCTGGGCTTGGTGGTCTTCAAAATTCCCAGATACCCAGAAAAAATCGTCATCATTTAAGTCCTTATCCGGCATATCTTTTATTATTTTTTCTCTACGACGGCGTATCCTAAGGTAGTAGACCCAGCCGTCATCTTTGGAGCCAATGGAGTATTGGTGGAATATTTCTGCTAGACCAAGGTTAAGACCGGCTCGGCGATTTAGTTCGGCTATTCCCATTATTATACGGCAAGAATTGGTGGAAAGCTGAGTTGGGCATATTCTGGTTTGTCTTAGGAATTCACAAATCAAGGGTTGAACGGGAAATCTTAGTCCGGTCTCTATTATTGATAAGAGGGTAAAAGGTACATAGCCCTCTTTTCCCCATGGAACGATATCTTGTTCGGCCAGATTGAGTTGAACGTCGTCAGGGATGTTGTAATCCCTTCGGAATTCGGCCAGGCCACCAGGGGTTTCTACCAAAAACCTATACTTCCCCATTTATTTTTTAAGTTATGGATAAATTAGTTCGGTCGCAAAACTGTGCTTAGTAGCTCGGTTAAGAGCGCAGTGGAGTGCCTGGGCAACCTAAGTCTGCAAAGTGGAAAACAAAGGGGTTAAGCACAGATCATTGGACCGTGCTACAAAATAAAAGCAAGAATAGGAGTCCTACTTCGGCTATGTGGGATGCTACAGGTTCTGTCTCGGTTTTAACAAGATGCTTAGTGGCTTGGATTGAGCAGGGGGTTCGATAGCTCGGCCTTGGCGAGCAATTCGTTATCTCGGTTAAAGAGAAGGCTCAATCAGATCGGTTGAGCCTCTAGGGGCAGCTTTCTGAGTTCGGCCTAAAAACTTAGAAAGCTGGCTTAGCCCCAAAGAACTAGCTCGGTCGAAAGATAAGGTTTCCAGTATGCTAAGTTCAGACTTAGTTCGGTTCATTTATCCCGGCTGAGATAAATCAGAGGATGGTTTGACTTATTGAAATTGCTAGTATAAGTATGAAGTGCTAGCTCGGTCATATAGATAGATTAGTGTGGCATCAACTATAAACTACTTTTTAGTTCGTTTATATTGTAATTTTGGATCAAACACAGTGTTCTATAGACTACTTCATGAAGTTCAAGTGATTCTTAAAAGTGTTTTTCAAACATAGAATGCTATGGATTAAACAAAAGCAGAAACAAAAATAGAGAAACAGATTTATGATGCTTACCAGGTCTAGAGGCACAAGAAGATGGAAGTGGAAGTAGCAACAATAGCAAGAACACGCAGCTTCTTCGAAATACAAAAAACAGTAAGAGCTTAGAAGAGAGAAAGAGAGAGAAGAGCTTGAAACAGTAAAATGATCGATGAGGGTGATTCAAAGGACGAAAATATTGTTTTGGGATATAGGAATGACGAAAACGCGCGGGACTATTCAAATTTTGCGGAGTACGAGGGCGGCGCGACAGCTGCAGTAAGCCAATACCAGCATGCCACGTGTCAAAGGGATGAGAATCGATTCAGTTTCTGTGATTGAAGGGACGTTGTGACCGGACAAGCACAACTCAGCTTAAGTTTAGCTCGGCTGGGAGGGTTAAAAGTATATAGCTCGGCTTTAAAGGGTTCAGAGTTTTAGCTCGGCTGGAAAGGCTAAAGGGTTTTTTAGCTCGACTGAAAAGGTAAAACTTTAGCCCAGTTTATAGACAGGTAATCCCTATCATGCTACGCAGATGGAATTAAGGGCCAATTGAGAGGATAATTTATATACGAATTGGGCCGAGCTGGGCCTTTATGGGCCTTAGTACGAAGGGCTGAGTAAAGAGGTCATAAGGTTACTCCGATCTTGAAGAGGCTTAAAGTTAGCCCGGTCTCAAGCCCAGAAGGTAAACCAGTCCGAGGGACTCTTGATGTTAGTCCGGTCGAAGGACGCTTTGTAGTTAGACCGGTTTAAGGATGCTTTGAACTTATACCGGTCATGGCGCAGTGAAACAAGATTGGTCTAAACCTTGATAAAAGATAGTTCGGTTTTGGGCATACATGGTTTGTTGAAAAACTATGGACAGAGAACCGAACTAGGTATGGTTCGGTTAAGCGTAGTCGTGATTACTTCGGTCGTATGGTAGGTCGGCCATGGAAGAACCATCTCACTTGGTTTAAGCAGTGATGGGGGGTTGAAGGATAAGCATTATCCTTCAGGAGTATGAATCCTAGGAGAACTCTGCATGGAGGAGTAAAAGTCCTACTAGGATTGTGCCACGCAAAACCTATAAAAGTTCACAAACATCACCTATGGAGAGGTAACACAACTTTGATTCCTGAATACACAGAGCTTTTGTCTATTTGTCTATTTTGCTGACTTAGGCATCGGAGAGGTTTCCGGCACACACCCGCCGGCTAGCTCACGTTTGTGTTTTCAGGGAGTAAAGCGACGACGTTTGGAGGAGCGCAGACTTGATCAACAGGATTATACGAAAAGGTTTATTTCTTTCCTGTACAAATACTAATGGTTATTTTGGGAAATAGGTTAAAAGTCAGTTTATTAATTTTTTTTGGCTTTTTTTTAAAAAAAAAAAAATATACAAAAAAGTAGAGAGATTATGCAATTCCAAAAAATTAAAAAGCCAAAAAATTGACTTTTAGCCTAAATGCCAAAATATGCCTAATTATCTCATAAGATAAACATTAAAAAGAACAAAAGGAGTAATTTTTTTCAAGAAAAATGCTCTATCCTTCCAAATTTTTCCCTCAAATGACGTGATAACAATTTTAAGAGACTTAATTAGTTGGTCACATCATTGAGGGGAGTTTAAGGGGAACAAATTGGAGGGACGTAGCATTACTTGTTTTTTCAATTGTTTTGTTGCGTAAGTAGTTTATGAATTGCTCTCCTTTTTTTTTTTTTGGAGTGAATTGCTTGCTCTTTTTAACTCAGTTTTGTCCCCTCTCCTACAAACTATAAACATCGAATGTCAACTTCCTCTCCCATGTGAATGAGGCACAACTCGAACTTGTCCAAAAACAAAAACCAAAAAAAGAAAAGAAAGAAGAATAGAAAACCTTATCATTCTGATCAACAGGAGGAATGTTGCGGCCGAAGAAAGTCCCTTCACTGCCTGCACCTTCATTGAAAGGGTCGTTAAATTTACCATCAGCAGTCCTGAATGGAAAATCAGCCGGGCAAGACCGAACACCAACCGGTGTTCTCCCAACGTTAATCAAGTTGTATTCCTGGTGAAGGTGTCTCCGAATTGATAGATATATCAGCCCCAAAAACACCGGTAACCGGTGCCATATCCCCAACTTATCAATGGAATGCATGATCTGCATAACCAAAAAAAAAAAAAAGATAATGACCACGAAAATGACTAAGGTTGTATTAATAATGGCTGTTAGCCTAATGAAAATTAGTTAATTTAGCCTAGTGTTGTGAAAATGGAGAAAAAAAATGGTATAGTGAAGTGGAGAGAGAGATTTGAATGGAAGTTTTTACAAGGAAGAGAAACTTGTCTATGAGAGTCATCTTTGCTACAGCTTCATGAAAGTCTCTGTGAATGCAATGATGCAGAGGTGCCATCAAGATAGCCTTGATGAATTCCATAACTAAGACTGAAAGAGAATGGGAAAGAGAAAGAGAAAGATAAACCAGTTAATATATAAGAGTAACGACCCTCTAGAGTTTTTTTTTCCTAAAGTTTCTTAGAGTGGTGTATTGTGTGGTTGAAATTTAATGACAAATCACATCAATTTTTCAGTATTAAATCTCAACCACACAATACACCACTTTAGGAAATTTTAAAAAAAAAATACTCTAGAGGATCCTTGTTGAATATATTAAAGTTTACTAGTCCACAACTCTTAAAATTGTTTAGCATTATCTCAATTGCTAGTTAATATATATATATATACAAGTGACATTGACATTTCAACCCAGTGTTATAATTTTATTTTAGGGGGCATTAGCATCTAGTGGGAATATATATAAAAATATATATATATATATTAAGTGGGAGTATATATAAAAATATATATATTACAAATATATAAAAAAAATTAAAATTTTTATTATTAATGTTGATAAAATTATCCACTAATTTGTAATTTATTTTCTTGCTCTGTTATTTTCCCTTTAATTTATTTTATTGTAGTTAAGACTTGTCAAAACTTATTTTCTATGTAAAGTAATTAAACCGGCAAGTTTTGTGGGGGTAATTTCATCACATTCTATTTTATTGGGTTTATTTATGAAGGAGGATATGATTTTTATGGCTCAATTAAATTTTTTGTTTTAATTAAATGGGACATAAATTTGAGATGGGATAATTATTCAGTAGTCATGAAATCAATATAAAGGCCAGAAAAAAGGTATGAAACTAGTTTTTTTGATAAAAAAAATATTTTTTAATCAATTTGAAGGCTCACTTATTTTTATTTTTATTTTATAGATTTGTGTACTAATGTGACATAATAGTGATATGCAAATGAAAAATACATATAAATTTTATATAGTGATTATATGGCTTGGTGTTTATTATTTTAAAATAAAGTATGAATTTAAATGAGATTTGATCTAATAACTATAAAAATATCACCATCAAATTATTATTCAAGTGAAAATGTTAGACGCATAGTATTTTCTTATGTTAAGGTACTATTTGGCATCTCTTATAAAAATGTATTTTTTTTTTTATTTGAGGTCACGTCATCTCTTTATTTTTTTACATATTTTTTTAAAAAAAATCAAAAAATATATATTTAGATCATTCCAAACACACTCTAAATTAAAGTTTTATCCATTTTAAATTTTTTTTTCATGATTCATGCCTCAGATAAGAAGATGCGTTTAATCAATGATCACGCGACCTTGAAGTGCTAATTTTCATAAAATAATGACCACGAAAATGACTAAGGTTGTATTAATAATGTAACAATGATTCATCCCACTAAAAACATCACCACTAATAGCACTAATGCATTAAAAAAGTAAAAAAAAATAAAAAAAAAAAATACAACTTCAAGACCAAAACATCACATCATTAATGGCGGGACCCACTGCCACCTAATTAGTGGGAGCTGATCACGCGACCTTGAAGTGCTAATTTTCATAAAATAATGACCACGAAAATGACTAAGGTTGTATTAATAATGGCTGTAGCTTAATGAAAATTAGGCTATGTTTGGGATATTAGTTTGAGACTATTTTAATCACAAAAAAGACAAAATAGATTAAAAATCAATAAGATAAAATATCATATTTAAATTATAATCATTTTATTTTTCTCTTACAAAAGTCAAAAAATTTAAAAAGTTCATCCTAAAAAAAACATTTTAGCCTCAAACTAAAACAGTCAAAGATTCAAAAAACGAAAAGGTCAATTCATGCGAAAATGTTAGACGCATAGCATTTTCTTATATTAAGGTACTATTTGGCATCTCTTATAAAAATGTATTTTTTTTTTTGAGGTCACGTCATCTCCTTATTTTTTTTTATATATTTTTTTTTTAAATCAAAAAATATACTTATTTAGATCATTCCAAACACATTCTAAATTTAAGTTTTATCTATTTTAATTTTTTTTTAATGATTCATGTCTCAAATAAGAAGATGCGTTTAATCAATGATCACGGGACCTTGAAGTGCTAATTTTCATAAAATAATGACCACGAAAATGACTAAGGTTGTATTAATAATGGCTGTTAGCTTAATGAAAATTAGGATATGTTTGGGATATTAGTTTGAGACTATTTTAATTACAAAAAAGACAAAATAGATTAAAAATTAATAAGATAAAATATCATATTTGAATTATAATCATTTTATTTTTTTCTTACAAAAGTCAAAAAATTCAAAAAGTTGATCCTAAAAAATTTTTTTAACCTCAAACTAAAACAGTCAAAGATTCAAAAAACAAAAAAGTCAATTCACCTCCCAAACGAAAGCTTAGAAGTTTTATTTGCCTATCCTCCGTATGCTCTAGAATGTATTTGGTTCTATCCCAATGGCAGGTCAGGTCATGTTTTGACTTAAGGGTTATAGTGAAAATTGGAGAAAAAATAGACATTCTTATTAAACTATTTAATTTTTCATTTACTATATACATAGTGTGAGGTTCATCTGATTGAATGATTAAAACAATCTTCAATCTTGGATTTAAAAGGAAATTTGTGCATAAAAATTAGAAGAAAAGAGAGAAGTAAATATTTATTTTCATTTCTTCTTATTTAAACACAATCTTAATAAATTACACTTTATGATAGAACACACAAGACAAGGCTAATTGCATTAAAGAAAGCACACACATGACTAATTAAGTAAAGGCAAGGTAACATAGTTGTAACCTTGATCAAGAACTAAGTAAACACACATAAATATATAAACACACATATAGGAGGGCGTGAATAGTGTTTCAATTCAATGGGGAATACGAAGATAGAGTGGGATGAGATTGTGTCGGTTGGGAGGTGCATTCCAGACTGTGAATGCGCTTGTAGAGTTCATCCATTTGTTTGTCATTTCAGGATAATGACGGTCTATTACATCTTTTAAGCTTTCAGTGCTCTTCACCCATTCCATCCCTTTCTTTGTGTATGTTTCCTCATTAAAATTAGTTGTAAAGAATCTATCCGCTTCAAGCCTTCTGCATATTGTCAATCACCAACTTTTTTTGAGAAATGTTATGTACTCCAAATATATTACCAAATAGTTTACTACACCTTTCACATGGGGTGGGACTCACACAGATCCATATGTATATGGGTTCCACACTGAGAGGTTTGGTAGAATATTTAGGATTCCTAGCATATAACTCATTTATTTTTTGTCAAACCCCATGTATGCTTACTCACCAAGAGTCTAAAAGGACAATTACTAGAAAACAATTACAACATACTGAATTTTAAATATCATTTGAACATTTGATTTTGTCATCTATGCATTGATAGAATGAGTCTCATTTTCATATATTATATCAAAAGTAATTATATTGTGTCTCAAAAATTTACAAAAAAAAAAGTCACATTATTCAAAGAGGAGAAAATTTAGATGCAGAAAAAAATAGAATAATGTTGTGAATATCAAATTTCTTTTATATTTTGTTTACCATCCAAGGCTTCAATAAATTATGAATATAGTTTATTTATTTAATTTTTTTTTCTCTAAAATTGATATGGGTAGTACCCAAATTTTGGAGTTAATTGAAGGTTTATATTATTTGAAGAGTAAATAGATGAACTTTACATATAGATAATGGAATTCAAGTATTGTTATTGCATACCTCGATGCCATGATAATGAATATGACAAAAGCAGTCTCACTGATGGCAAATCCCTTGATCTTCTTCTCTGCCATGAGACCTACCAATAGATCGAGGTTCTCCACATCATCACCGTACACTTGTTTAAGTGTGTCAATTGCTTCCTTATCATCCGTTAGATCTTCCCATTTGGATATGGGTATCAATAGGAGTCCCCTTCGGAACTCATTGTATCTAGCAACTTTCCTCTCCCTATCTCTGTAAACTACACAACCACTCATATGGATCAGCCCCTTTTATCTCATAAACAAGTATATTACAAAGATTACTCTGATATGCGTTTAAATTTGATTTGTTTATATAATGAGTTGATTTCAAACAAGTTATTAACAAGTAAAACTTAAGTAGCTTGGATCATTTAACAGAAAATTACCTTCGAGAGCAGGTAGGTCAACGGGATTAGGCCTATCGGTGCCATCTACATTTTGGGGAATAATTTCCCTAAGCCAGAGAGGATAATTCCAAAGCTCAAGGGCTCCACATGATTGGTGACCCATCGAAACCATTTGCCTTGTAAATCCTATTTCTGTTAATGCCTTTTCTCCTTTGTGGCCAACCAGATTTGGTAAAGGAACCCTGTTTAATTATTTATTTAATTAATTTTTATACATTTTCTTTATTAGGGAAAAAAAATCCAGAAATTTGATGATGAACGAATACGAGAGAGAGAGAGTGTGTTTTTCTTTACTTTTTAACCAACGGTAGAGATTTGTTGAGACTAGGTGATGCAGTGATGTCCCTGAGGAGAAGGTGATCAGGTAGAAGCGAGTGCATCCTATAAACACTGACAAATTCCTCAGTCAAGGAATAGGGTACTCCATGATTCTCTGGCTTCCTTAGGCCCACAAGCCCTCCTAATATTGCTCCACCAACGTGTCCAAATGTATCCTTGAATTTCTTTCCCAATAATCCATACCTGAAATAATGGGCTTAATTTCATTGTAAGAAAAAAAAACTCCAACTATATAATAAACCCCACATTTTCCTTCCACAGAAATGGAAAACAACCACTTATAAACATGTATTTTTGAAGATAAACAGATTTGATTATGGAATTGGGCCTAATAGTATCTCTCTAATTATTTTCTTTCATGTGTTGGGTCTAATTAGAAAGGAAAATGCTATAGACCCCAAACAAATTACCAAATAAATTACCAAACCTCTCACATGGGTGTGGGACCTACATGTGATTTGTGTGGGACCCACACCCATGTGAGAGGTTTGGTAATTTATTTGGTAATTTGTTTGGGATCCCTAGCATAACTCAATTAGAAAAGTTTGTTTTACCAGTTGGCACGCATTGAAGCAAGCAACGTGTCAGTTTTAAGAAGCTCAA